ACTGCGATCGGATCCTTGCGGTTGAGGTCCAGGGGTGCACACTGCGATCCGGAGCTGGCCAGACAAGATCGGCGAAGCAGATTGGCGAAGCAGATTGGCGATGAAGATTGGCGATGCAGATTGGCGATGAAGATTGGCGAGGAAGAAAGCAAGGAGGAAGGAGGAAGGAAGGAGGAGGAGGAGGAGGAAGAACAACTGTGATAAAATCTAACAACCCTCACCTGGCAGGTGGGGAACAAATAGATCATGGAAGATCGAAAGAAAAACAACAAGAGCAACAGGCTAACGTAAACTAATGTCCCCTCTCTCCTTTGCCTCTCCTCTCCTTTCCCTTCTCCTTTGCATTGTGTTTCCATTCCTTTCCTGTCCTCCTTTGCTGTTTTTGGATTGAGCAGATGCATATAGAATATATACACTAATGGGGTTGCAGTGTTACATCAGTCCTTTCCTCTTCTTAGTGTCTGGTCCTTCCTCTATCCTCTCCCCCACTCCTCTCCATTGCTGCCTTTGTTTTTTGCTGTTCATTGGAAGATACTGAAGATACTCCAGAACATGTTCTGCTGAACATGTGCCCAACACAAAGCGAGCTGCTAAGATCTGCTACATCTTAGTCTAGGACAACTCTTCCATAATAGTGGACGGCGTCATACATCCTAAATCCCAAACACTCTTGATACATAATGTATATATATATATTACTAAATAGCCACATAGGTCCTAAGATCTACCAGCACACACACACACACACAAAAAAAAACATCAAACAGCAGCTTCTCCAACATGTCCAATGTCCAGGGCTCCCATTTCCAGCCAGCATGCTCTTCTGCAGCCGGTTTCGCTCCTCATATGCAGATTTGGCGTGGAAATCATCGGAGCAAAGACCTCTGAAGCTGCAAAGCCCAGCGTCGCTCCCTACGCACGGAACAGGCTCGGACGGGGCTCGGTGAACGGAAGCGGCTGATGGAGGCCGCTGGAAACGGGACTGAAAGCGCTGAAAGGTTCACGAAACTTGAAGAGTTGTCCAAGAGATACCGAGATGCCCCCTCTGGTTGATATGTATTTCGCGTAGTGGTCAATGTCAATGTCAACGAAGGTGCATCCCTTTCACAAAGAATCATACAAAGATCAAATGATCAAATGAAATTTGTGCACGAGATCAGGTGCATGTCTTCCACTTCCACTTCGAAAGATGCAGCCGCAAATGTTCTCTTCTTTGATGGCAGCCGGGAGTACCGCAGGTGGTCAACACCATGGGCTTCGGGGTGGGTCACAAAACACTGAAGAAGTATGGAATATCATATGGCTGCATTGGGGTGGTTTCAGGATGCTTCAGGGGTCAAGGTAAGGGAAGCATCTATGAATATCTACGTATATATATATATGCATGTATAGATATATATAGAATACTGTATGTTCCATGGATGGTTTGGGAATGGAAGCTGGATCAAATCGGGGTGAATTCCACCCGGAGGCCCGGGTCAAGGTAAGTGATGGCGAATATGGCTAAAGAAGTCACCGAGGCACGGATGGTGCCATTTGAGGCACTTGGTTGTTTTTTCCATGACTGAGGATTGGCTGATTGGCGTCCATCCCCTAGAGTGACAACAGTTGGATGGGAAGGTTTTCCAACATTTTTCCAACTCCACGTCCTAAAATCATGTCCGGAAAAGCACTGTGCCTTTGCCCGGGCACGCAGCACAGCTGTACTGCACCAAATCGGCCAGTGGGGAAATCTTGGTGAAGTAGCCACGACGACAGCCCGAGCAATCGTTCCTGGGAGAAAAGGGTTACAAAACCCAGCTCCACAGAGCTGCTGAGAAGCTGAAGTATCTGAGCAATCCGATGCTCTATGCTTCAGCAATGACAAGAGGAGGTGTAGGTTTTACTCTATCTGACTCTATCTTGCTCTGTTGCCGTGAGACCCATTTCAAACGCATGTCCAGTGCGACACCCTTTGCAGGCGTGTTTTTGTTCATGCAACGTTTTGATCTACCAAAGGATGTTGTTCTTGTGGCAGTGTCCCAAACAACCCAGGCAACCCTGTCAGAGTTCGAAGTGGTTCTCAACTGAATGATCAGCACTACCAATTGTGAACTTGGACCTCCAAGATAGAATGATAGGCTTGCGCTGTTTGTGTTGTTTAAACATATACATCATATAAATGGTATATCATATACAATAAAGTCTAATTTAATAACTATATATAATTAACTGATTGTGTTACGGACTTCCTTAATAAGGTTCCTAACCACATAAAACAACTTGTTGAACTATATATAAGGACTGTTGAGATTCCTGGGCTCTTCGACTTAGCAGCTGCTCTGATCACTGGCATTCACAGGGCCTTCACCTCACAAAGCAACTGGTCATGGCAAGTCAAATGAATCATGCCTCCACAGCAAAGTCAAACTCAGTTCATGGACACGGGCATCCTTCAATTTCCCCGATCCCAAACTCCTCAGCCACACCCTGTGGAACCGTGGATCTGCAAAACCGCTCCAAGTTTCAGTGTATATCCGCTCATGCAGGTGCAATAGCCATCAGCCCCACAGATACCCTTCAAGCTACAGGGCGCTTTGACCTTGCACCAGCCTGGAGAGAGAGAGAGAGAGAGAGAGTACCAGTTTGACTGAAGAAGGCAGTTCCAATAAGCCGACTCTCCGGGCACTTCGACTCTCGTTGTTTTGACCATTTCCCAGTCCACTTCTAAAAGGACCTGCTGGCCGCTTCGGGCGTCAGGCTGACTCGATGTGGTCGAACGCCGACGTGACCGTTGGATCCAACAGAACAGAGTCGGTCGCCAGGGGGATGCGTGAAGCGAAGGGGCTCAAAAGGCCTTGCGTGACCGTCATCGCTGATCCGTGAAATGGATGAGAATGTGTGGTCAAAGAGGGTTTAAAAAAATCGCGGAATCACGTACTTTCATGAACATGTCGGGCAAATGTGAGCATCTCTTAATGTCGCGGCCTCCTTTTTTTAAATATAGGTAGAAAATGGATTCTGAAACGCTGGTGCATTGGCAATTCTCTGCATGCACCATATATCCAGTAAGAGGATCGAATTGGCCAAGGAACCAAATGTCCAAGGGCCCCTTTCTGCGGGGCGGACTTGACACGTCTCGCTGCTGTGACAACAAACAAGCACAGTGCAGGCATATTATCCAAACTCCATTCAAAAAGGTTGTTGTTCATAGTTCCACTAGCTCTTCTACTCGGCTCCGCCGGAATCCTGGCTATGCCCTGGGAGTCAAAGACCATGTCTAAATGGTCTTTGTAAAGCTTTAATTATGATCAAGGAATTTCCCACCTCCTTCGCTGGTGGCCCCGAATTCAAAGCCGGGAGACCGAAGTGAGACCCGGCGTCGAACCGAGTGGGAAGGAGTCCACGCCTGCTTGGAAGTACTTCAAATGACGTGGACCCCAAGCGCCAACCTGAGAAGAGCAGTGACCGAGAAGAGCAAATTTTTCCCCATTTCTATGAGACAAACTGCATGAAACCTGAATTTTCAGCATAGTGGAAGCGTCCAACCAAAGGGTTCATTTTGAAGTCTGTTCCATGTAGCTTGTAGACCAAGAGAGTAGGTTCCTTCAAGCAGAATCTGTCCAAAAAACGGCAAATTGTTGTTTCAATATCATGACAAACGAACGAGAATCAAAAACACACAACAGAGCCCCCTCACTAGCCCGACGATGGATACTTCATGGGGTCCGCGCAGTGAAGGATTCCGAAAGATACAACATTCCGACCTTTGAACCTTGGGGATTCAACTTGGAACTCCCCCTCCAAAAAGGCACTTTTTGGCCAGTTGTTATGTTGGTTTTGTTCTTTGGGTGGCAAAATTTGAAAACATCACACAAACTGGGCAAAACATCAAAAATTGGACATCTTGATGAACGCTCACCCAGGTAACGAGCAAATCCATGTTCCCATCATGGTTCCAATCCTCAGTGCGCAGCCGTGACTGGTTTGTCAGCAAAAACCCCGCACGAGCTCCGGACGTATGACATCGACATCGTCCCCTGCGTTCTGTTCCGGGGCACCGGATTGACCGGAGTGACCAAACACCAGTGATTTCCTCCCAGATCGGCTGGTGACGATCAAAATCTCTCTTGAAAAAAACTGCGGAAACCCAACAAAGGAGTGACTGCTGGTTGCGTCGAATTCGTCAACTTTCTGTACTTCCAGTGTCATGTATGTGCACTGAAGTAATTCCTGTTCGTCCAAGAGAATCAATTGCGACTTAGCTAGCTATACGAGGGGTTCAGTTTGCAATCCAGCTTACCGCTAGTTAACCAATATGATCCAATATGCCATACTTCACCAAACCTTTCACTCACTCGGGATCTAGCTTACCAGGCATCTACTTTAGCCAAGACTTACATTGACCAAAGGTCTATTTTACCAAAGGCCTAGTTTACATTAGTTTACCATCTAGTTTGCCAGACATCTAGTTTACCAGTGTACCAGTACCTAGTTTCCAACGACGGTTCCAGAGATCTACTTGAGCAGGGCCCTACTTCATCAGATATCTGATTGATTTTCTTGGATTTGGTTTGGTCAGTCTTGGTACTACAAGGCGCTCAAGCAACGGAAACCCCATAACTAAAGAGACATCGCCAAAGCAACAGTGACAACATCAGCCAAAATGAGCAAGACGCGGACTCCCAGGGTCTGTCGTTGAAATAAGGGATGCCCGTGGAAAAAAAAACGACTTAAACTCACAAATCACAAGGCTTCTCGGAGGGGTCTTGAGATGTCTTGAGTAATCTGCCAACCCCGGCCCGGTTTTTTTCCCCGGAACGTGAGCGTGAGCGGAGCGGGGCCGGCGTGTTCCTGTTGAGGGACTCCGGTGAGCGGTAATAATATAAAGCGTGTAGCTCAAATAGGAAGACCCTCCCTATTCAACGACCTCTTGGGTGTTCAACATTGACCCGTCTACCCTTGGGATAGGATGGGTGGTTCACCACTTTTCCCTGTTGTAGCTGAATCCTTTGGCTTCAAACGGAATGATGAAAAACGGAACGAACATCGACCCAACCACTGCCCCAAATAAACCAAAAAACAACAAGCGCACTGCAAATAGAGTGGCTACTACGTGTATTCCTGAACTGGCTCTGCAATGTCTCTCACAGCGGCAAATGCCAAGATTCTATGGGCAAAAAACCGGTCACTTTGCCATCGGCCAGCCCGTTGTCCAAATTCAAACCTCACAAGGCTTCTCCGTCCCCCCTTCGATTTGTAAATCCAAGAAGTCTCACCGTTTTTGGTGGATCCGTTTTGTCTGAGCCTGAGAAGCTTTGCCTGAGTGATGGGTCAGGTGCCTCATCGAACAAAACCCTTGTAAGTTGAGCAAACCCTCAACAACACCAGGGAGCGATTTGTTTTGTGAAGTGAATCACTTTTTTTCAGTAGTGTTTTCAGATTCTGTCTAACCGTGGACGTCACAGGAACTGCATGTGGGCGTTCAGCCCAAGCCGTGGTAGGTGAGGCTACTTAAGATAAAGGGGAGTGGATGAAAGGTAGCTTGTCCGCATGTAGCAGGGTGCGGATCACAAAGACATTAGAAAAGGGGATCATGTCCAAGGCGTGGCTTTCGGTGCAGCAATGCTGGCACGCAAAGCGACAAGAAAGACCGCGCGGGGCTGAAGCCTTCTGTTTGGAACTTATAAGAACTTAAGCGGAATGTTTTCTTTGCTCAATGAGCCTCGTAGATGATCCGCTTCGTCTCAAATGAAAATCCTGTTGAAAATACCTTCGTCCTTATGCTTCAGCCCGGTGGTCTACTCAAGGCTCACTGACCTCGCAAGGTTCGTTCCAATTGACATGGCGAGAGGATTCTCCAAGCAAAGGTCTGGATGCACAAAGCCAAGGACCAATGTATACAAATAGCAAAAAACAATATGGATGAGGGGAGATTTCTTTCGCGGGTCTCCCATGATCATAATAAAGAATCTCCTATTACGTATTTAGACACAATTCGCTGCAAAAAAAAACATGGCAGCTTCCCCTTAAACATTACATGTGTGCTGAAGCATGCAAACATTACAAAAAAGGCTAAAGCTACCTGGTCTCATATGTATGTCCTGATATCTACTTGACTTTAAAACATTTGCATCCTTTGTCCATGACCTCAGTTGGCTAAAACTCAATTGTCATAGGACCACGAGCGAAAAACACCGGACCGGTGCTCTCCATCTCCAGTCCCAGGAGCCATCAAAGGGGCTTTCTGGGCCTTCCTTCAGCACCAGCACCCCTTGAGCATTGCGCTCCTCATAGGCAATCCGCCCATCAGGCCAAATGGTCAAACGGTCCACTTGACCATCCTTGTTGAAGTCAACGTCCACTGGCTCGCCTCGGTGAGGTTGAGAGGTTGAGATGCTCGAATGCTACAGACATCCCGCAGCACCTCGAGCCAGGAAGCCTCGAAACATTGGATTCATCAACAAATAATCCTCCAAAAGTATTCAGACCCGGTCAGAGTCTCTATGTCCAAGTGCTTTCTGTCCGCAATTGGCACTGCTAACATCAACCGGTGTTCTTTGGGGGGCAATCCCTCAGGTTCATGTTGCCATCTTGACTTCCATGCAAGCGCGCACGCACTTGGCGACTAGAGTGTGCCCACGTGTTTCTTGCGAATGGGAAATGTTTAAAGAGTGGAGACTCTCAGATTAACGCATTCAGAGAAACTTATGCCACGGTAGTTGCAATGGTTGAAGAACATTTCAGGAATCACATGGAATCTCAAGGAAAATCATATATGAAATGGATCATACTGGACGAATTTACCATTGTGTCTGGCTTCCCAGTCGAGAAAAAAACACTGGAGAAAACCGACAGATCGGAGAATCTCACACAAAGAACTCGGCCGCAGCAACTGCGGCATCTCATCTCATCAACGTCGGGTGGACACCGAGTACCATCCATCCGGCCTGCTTGTAGCCATCGAGCGCCGATGGCCGCTAAAGGCGTGCCCGTGGTGGTGATGTTGATCAAACTGTGGTTCTTGAGCTCTTGGAAGACTTGGACCCGCGCCCTGCGAAAGGCGGAGACCAGTAATTCTCTGCGCCCTTTTTGTCCGGCACGAAACATGTCTGTGCGATCGAGGGACGTAGCTTTGGGGGTAGTGTCGGTCGACCGAAGTGAGGTCTCCAAAAGGGATCGAGGGACGGCGGGTTCAACCATGTTCAACGACATGCCAACGCCGTGTCAGCCAATTCTTCACATAAAAGGCGCCGTGTCAGCCAATTCTATTGCAAATGGGGTAAATCCACAGTGACCGATTGTTGCGGGGAATCTCCTTCGTTGGGACCAGCCTCCTGTGGGCCTTTCAACCTGCTTGGTCGATCCGAGGCTCAAACTGGCCAAAGTCCTCTGTAAGTCCTGGGATGCTCTGGATACTCAGGTCAGTTTGGGGAACTCTGCCAGTGACGTACGTGTGCTTTCCAGCCACACGTGTGCTTTCCAAACAAACGGGCCTTCCAATCATGTTGGACGACACGTTGGCCTCTTGGAACATCAGGTACCGGTCCTTGTTCCTCGACCGCCGACCCGTCGTTTGGCCACGGGCGTCACGGCAAAACATGGCACCCTCCGGGGTCAAAAAGGAAGGACTAAGCATGAAGTGTTGGGAATGCGGAACAAGGATTTGGGAGTTGGTGACATGGAAATGAAAGGACTCATATAGCTATAATTGTCCTTTCGGAAAGCCTTTAGATTCATTTAGTATTGCTGATTCTTGTGCCATCGGCCGGCCTGAGCCGGGGGGATATCTGTTTTTTAGTTGTTTTTGATTTGACTTCACATTGATCTTTGATAAGATATTATATGTTTGCAAAGATCTGTTTAGAGTTGGTTGCGCTGGTGTGAAGCCACAAGGACAAAGAACGCTTAGCTTCATTTTGGGTCAGGGATTAATGGTATGGAGCCTTCATGAAGGGGTGCCGGCACGCTTTGTAGGTTGATGTTGGGCAATAGTTGATTGTCAATTGAAAACCCCAACGACCCCCAAAAGTCAAGTTCTGTGGCAGTTGACATACGTCTGGCAGCCAGCTTTTCACGAGCTCCTTCCTCAACAGTTGTACCATCTTCTTTCTCACCGATCCAATCATGGAGCCGAGCATCTCATCGATCAAAGGCCAGGCTGGCACCGCTGAGGTCAGAAGACCCAAGGCATAGAAGGGATTGGAGGCGCCCAATTGCGGTGTCAAATGTTCTGAGACGGGTCGGCGTCACGCCCCGAATAAAGCAAAGCGAGAACGAAGTCCGGAGGGTCGGACCATCAGTTTTGAAGGCACAGCCCAGAAATCCCAGGTACCCTCCTGGACAGATTAAGATAGACTCTCAAAACCATAGGGCTGTGGAGGAAAATGGTCTTCCACTGAGGAAATTTCAGGGTCCATGATAGTCTGCAAATAGATCTTCGCTGTCTGTGGCTGATAGACACACAAACCCATGGTTTACTGCTAAATTCCCACAAGTACCAGGGTGGGGTGGGGTGTGTCACGGCATGAATAAACACATGATGGGTCCAAACCTGACAGTGGTCCCAACCTGTGACCTACCAGACTACGATGAAAGCTTCCTCCCCTCACCGACTACAGTGCTGGATGCAACGATTCGCAAGTCTCTTCGCACAGTTCAGTGCTCATAGATGTTGTATGGTTCCTCCAACAAAAAATTGAACAGTGAGTCACACAAACGGAGAATCTTAAATTCCTACCACAGCAATCGTGAAGAAACGATCCGCACAGTAGCTGGAACAGGACAAATGGATCATTTGGCTTGAGCACTTGAGAAAGAACATACCTAGACGTCCAAACAGGTGTTTTCTGCTGACAACTCGTACATTTGGAAATCACTGGGATATCGCACCTTTTTGTGGCTCAAAAAGCACAATGAAGCCTTGAACAAACGTAGCTAAGCTCCTGTGGATCACCGCTTTGTTCAAGGCTGAGGGCTGCTCACGCGAATTTTGGTCCAGAGATTTTGCAGGAACCAAACCACCAAAGAACGAACTAACATTGTGTCTTCCTTAATTTGTGAGTACGTTCATGCCTTGGAATTCCATGCAAACCGCGAAGGGCCAACCGCTTCACACAGGGCCATGCACAGGGCCGCGCCAAACACTCGGACGACAAGGATCGATTTTGTTCGCGCGCATAGAGGGTCACCTGCGAGGTCGGAGAAGTGTCTCCAACAAAACCCATCAGGGTACAGAGTGACTTTCTCTTTCATGTGTCTGGTTTGCTATACCCGAAAGCTCTCAAAAGGCACATCAGTGGAATTTGCAGATGTGTGCATGTGTGTGTTGGGTGGTTTTTTTCATGATAAATTTGCAGAACCATGTACACAGACACATTTCATATTGCATGTATGTGTTTCTGGCTGTTGTTTGAAACATATATAGTATTTACGAGGCGAAGTGGATAGTGGAGTGAGGCAGGTTCTAACCACATGAAAACCCAAAATAGTCAGTGCTGTAGGAAAAAACATCACGTTTACTGCATGCGATTAATCCTCAATCAGAACTCCAAAACTCAACCGTGTTCATTGTTGTTTTAGGTGTTCAACATGAAGTTTACAAGACAAACAATCCTGAGTTAGAAAAAACACATTGTCATATGAATTCAAATCAATCCCGGAACTCATTGACATGTGTTTCTAAGAATCTGGGAACCACAATAGGGCCAGGGCCCCCGTCACCATTCTGGACATGACAGTGACACAATGGTGTCCACATGTCGACCTGTGGCATTTATGGCGTCGCACCTTCCCATCCACATCACCGATAAAGAGTTCCATCCGAGGGTGGCCGCTGCGGAAGGCCGCATGGACTGAGGGATAGTAATGTGTCCCCACCTGGGCAGTGTTTCTGTTGTAACTACGGAACAAAAAAACTGGAATCATACCTTCGCATGTGCTTTCGCAAGCCTTCGCAAGACATATTCTTTAGTGCAAAGGGTGCCTTCATGTCTAAACGTGTGTTATGTGGTGCCTTTGCGACACGTTTTTTGCCAACCCTTTTTGCTTTGCACAAATGAAATGAACAATGTCGCAACTGCAAAGGATACTCATCACTGCAAGAAATAAATCAGCTACAAGGGATTTTTTGCATACGCAAATTGCTCTTGCAAAAAATAAATTGTGGGGCCTACGCGACGCGGTTTCGCATGCAGTCGGGCATGCGCAAAACTGTGAGAATGGCCTTCGCGGGTTATGATGCAGTTCACTTTCCTACACCTTAAATACACGCATGCCAGCTTGAAAACTACTTTACTTCGAGTGGTCCCCACCATGGCATCTCAATCATTTGTTTTCATGACATGGTGGGCAACGAACAGTCAAACACAGTGATTCAATAGCGGTAGTGTGGTTTTTGTGATTGTGTTCGTTGGTTGTGTGTTGTGTTGGTGTTTTGTGTTTGCATGTGTGGTTGTGTTTGGTTGGTTGTGTCTTGTGTGTGTTTGTGACTGTGTTTGTGAATGTGTGTTTTGTCTTCGTTTGTGGTTGTGTTTGTACATTATACAGTATAATTGTGTTTGTAGTCGTGTTTGTAATTGTGTTTGTAGCAGGTCCGTTAGTTTTGTTTGTTGCGTATTGTGTATTGTGCGTTTGTGTGGTTGTGCTCTTTGGTTGTGTACTGTGTGTTGAGGTCCCACAGTGCCCACTGCGATCTGGCGCTTGCGGTTGAGGTCCAGCACAAAGCTGCGACCTGGGTCCGGTAGTGCCACTGCGATCTGGCACTTGCAGTTGAGGTCCGATAGCCCACACCGATCTGGCACTTGCCGTTGACGTCTGGTATACATGCCCTCTGCGATCTGGCGCTTGCAGTTGAGGCCCGGTAGTGCAGTTGAGGTGCGGCAGCGCCCCCTGCGCTCTGGCACTTGCCCGTCGATTGGACAATCCTCCCGTGAGTTCGGTGAGAGAGGAGGCGGAACACAATCGAATCTGTTGGCTTGGTTGAGGTTCCATTCGGCAACCAAAAGGGAAACAATAGTTTCCCCGGTGCTCTTCTCGGGTTTTGTTGTTGGGTAACTTCACAGTTTTCGTTGAACTTGATTATGTTGGTAACTTTACGGTCTTCTTCGGAAACTGTCCAGTGGTGGCTGGACGGTGATATTTGGAAACTGGGCAGAGATCTTGAAGGTATTTTCAAGTTTCCTTTTTTGGTTAATTTCTGAAGAAAAGAATACCCGAAAAAAGAGTTTCTGAAGACTCCGCAGGAATTACCAAATATTGTGAACAAAAAAACACATGTGTATATATATATATATGGGCGCGCGTGCTTTTCGGCCCCCCTGTAGTAAACCACAAGAGACAATAAACACATAACGCGCCATTAAATAGTAGATGCAGATTTTGAATCATTTGCATTGAGCAAACATGCAAGTTGAAGCATACATACAAATTGGAAAACTGCAAAGAAACAACGCGTTCAAAATCATCCCCATAGCCTATATGGTTCATAGAATATCTGAAGTTCATAGAAAACTGTTTCGCAACAACTAATAATTGATTCTAAAGAGACACATGTGTTGAACCAAACAGGTCCTTGCAGAATTTGTTCTACATTTACTTCTGAGATTCTGTAGTAAATGATGCATTGATTGATTTGTTGGCAAAGGGTTGATGTGTTAGCAAAGGACGCAAAGGATTGATTTGTTAGAAAATGAATTACAATACACATACATACAATAAATCAAAGAGCTCATTTGTGTATATAACGAGACAGTTGCGAAAAATTGCCAGAAAGTAGTTGGACAAGATACGGACAAGGTCACGGCAGACTTTCCAACGCCAAACAAAACGGTGCTGAAGTTTAGTGGCAGGAGAGCAGTTGCGAAAGAATACCACAGTTACGGAAGAAACGTTTCAAGAATGAGAGTGGTCAGCATAGAACAAAAAAAATTAGACTTCCAGAAGCCAGATCGATAGTATCAGGTCTTGTTGAGGTCTATCAAGGCAAGGAAAAACAAACGACACATGTAACGACAGAAGCACTTGGTCGTTTGTTCTGGGGTTCTGTTTATTTGTTCGACATTTCTTTGCAAGAACCTCGAAGACCTATTAAAACGCTCTCCGATATGAATTATATCGGAGACCCCTAAATACGGCTTGTTTCTAAATTGCTACAAAACTACCAACATGGCCTGCTTTGTGGTATTTTCATGTGGTCTCAGAAGGAACCCTAATAGCCTCACCTCAGTCCACCCTGTCTGTCCACCATGACACGCCGAGTTTACCCCAGCAGGTTGTCCCTCCTGCAAAACCAAATGGCGCAGCAGGTTGACATCACCTTTTGAAAGCTTTTGTTGTTAGTTTAATGAAGAATCACTATAACTGAGGCTTTTGCAAAGGGAAAAGGACCAAAGAAGGACCCTTCGATCTGGAGGTTTTAATTTTTGATACGAGTTTTAAAAAGGATTTTATATGAGACTTTCCTAGGCAACTTTTCGCTTTTAAAGCTCTTGCCCGGTTTCCATCTTTTCTAATCAATGATTATTCAAAAGGATCCTCCCACTGACCCTATTTTTGGCAACAAAAACGCACCCGAGTTTTTTGAATATTGCGGGGGGTGGATTTTATGTGGAAGGGATTGCTACAGCCACGTGCGCTTCCCTCTTTCTCCCGCTCCTCTGCCTCCCGCCTCCTCCGGCCAACTCGACTCGACTCACGCGGAATCGACCCCAACGAGTCCAACTGACGCCAACTCACCGACGACACTATCTCCAGGGGGTCGAGGCTTGGGCGCCACCGGCGAAAAACCGACGCTTCCTGTTGCACCCTCGCTGGGGGGCCTGCATATCAACTTGGGTCTGGGCTTGGTCGCCACCGCTCCTCTCAACTCACAACATATCAACATAGTTCAACTCACACCAACTCAACTCACGCCAGCTCGCCACGAAGCACCAACTCAACCCGTAACACCTTCACTTGCACCAGCTCAACATGTAAACCAATCCTTGCAAGCTCAAAAAACGTCTCGATCTCCAGATTGAAGTCATTGGTGCGCGAACAACTGCTGTGCTACGCGCTAAGCCGATGAACTTAGATTTTTCACGCGCAACTTCTGACACTCACACAAATCCTCACGCATCACGCCTGTGAATCCGTGTCGCGTTATCCGCTATCACTCCTTTGCCCTCCGCTTTCTTGTTCCGCTGCCTAATGCAAACGAACAATTGAAAAGTCGGGTTAGCAAACCCTGGAAAACAACAACTGACATGAAACGAATGAGACTTTTTTCATCCACAAACACATCAGTGTTCCTATTTCTTTCGACTGAGGCTCGGCGAGTAGTGGTGCACAGCGGCGACAACCGCCACAGCCGCAACTAAACAAGCACCACCACAACAAGATCTTCAAACAAAAACACAAAAACAACGAAATACAATGCAACACTACAAAAGAAACACGTCATGGATGTCATGGATCGATGTTAATCCCTTCCACCTAAGAAAGTTATATGTTTAATTAAAGAGACACTTAGTTTATTGGTTTCCCACACTTGTTTTATGGGCGCAGTGTCTTTCAATGGCTACTCGGGAATCCCAAGCCACGCATGAGTTTCCCCGTCTTGCGTGCCCATTTCCGTTCATCTGAGCAGCACTTTGGAAGGGGCTTTGCTCTCCCTGCAGCTGCACAATGCGTCCAGAGGCCGTCCGCTCGAAATACAGCACGCTACCCTCCTGCTCAATGTGATCGTGTCTGGGTCCATGGGCTGACAGAGGTCAGAACCGAACCCGGGGGAAAGGCAAGAGTTCACCCCTGGTTCAAGCCCTAAAGAAGAACCACGTCTTCGGATCTAAGCCACAAGTACAAGTTTTGGAGGGTGAAATAGACATATGGCCCAGCAATCCCAAAATTGAATCCAAACGCGTGGCCCATCATCAGTTGAACACTGACTTTACCAACTTGTCGCCCTTTGCAGGAAGATGCAGCAAGCACTACACGAAAGCTGCTTGGCCAAAGAATCCATGCTTTTGAGGAACTGATTTTGTTGGAGAACGTTGGTCACATTTGCCTAGCCTAGATGGATGGTCATGTGATTCAATTTGATGTGGCTCACCTGGGTCACTCTGGTGGATCCAAGGCACAGCTGTACCCACCAGGAGGTCCAGATCTCCATCTCCATCCCAATCCACCATGAAGGGTGATGAGTAAAGCCCATCCCAGCCACGGTGATTGGCCTCACAAACGACGTTTCCTCAGGATGGGTTCCACATGGTTTTAGTGGTTCACACCATCGGAGTGATCATCGCTGGAACCCCACCACGCGCAGGATCGATTGGCCAAGCAAAGCTCCAGTAAGGAAACCTGCCCCGCAAAGAAGGTAACAGGTTAAGCGCTGACTGGGTATAGCTTGTAAGCCAAAGGTACTACTGTAGCAAAGGTTACTTCCCTGAAATGCGCAGAAAAGACCGATGGAAAGGAAGTTAGGGGTTCTTTCTAGGGCGCGTAATGGGTAAAATGCATCTTCCTGTGTTTTGCGCCAAAACAGGCGCAACACCAAACATGTTTGAACTCCAGTGGCAAGCTGCATGTGAGATGGGATTGAAACATAATACCGGACATGAGCAAATCACATGCTCATCACATATCACAATCAAAACAGTTGAATGATAGATCCCGGATGGAGATTTATCATACACAACCAAGCACAGGCGGGTGAGAAAAGACAGAAAGTTCAGCAGCATCCGCTGCGCGGCTACCTCCGACAAGGGGTTCTCACTAGGTACGTCTATGAAGCAAATCTCTTCTCAGTGGAACCTGTAAATCAATCTATGTCTAGCCTGCTACAGGGTACGCTCTTCAAAACCGATTCTTTGTCCACTGCTTTGGTGATAGCCTTTCATTGGGAAGTCTTTTGATGACATCACTATGTTCTGCAAGCGTCTTTCGTCAAAGCTCGCTTTGGTCTTAGCTCTCGGAAATTTGCAAGGAGGACAAGATTTTCCTTCCAACTTCCAACCCGCTTTGGAGCTTGGTCTACCATGATCCTGTGCTTACCTGGCGCTCGCTTGCAACGGATATGCGCAGTCGAGGTCGGTGTGCAGCAGACCCCATCGAGGTCGGTGTGCAGCAAATGGCCCTTAAGTTTTGATGAGAAACACCATCTATGAGAATGCCCTGAAGGAATTCAATCGTCAGGCTATGCCTTGGTCAGCGCAAAATTGATCTCGCGGATTCGTTCCGATGTCCCCACCCATGCCACCACCTGCGAGCTTTGTCTGTATGAAACAATGTTGTTCTTTGCTTTTGCTCCGTGCCTTGACCCCTTGAAGTCAAGATGTTGAATCTCTTGAAGGCGTACATGGTCGCAAAGAGTGAGGCTTTCCCAGGAGCAGGACAAGTGCCAGAAGGCCCAAAACCACCTGAGTCTGTGCGAGTCGAGGACATCATAAATGGAGTGGACAGTACATGGCCAAAATGGAGTGCATCAAAAGGCTCTGAGGTGAATTTCAGAAGCACGGCCGATGTCGGCGCAGTTTTGGGACCGCTTCAAAAGGCAGCATCCGGACGTTGAACACAGGTCTTTGCGTCTTCCGATCTACGCTCGGCGGGCGTGGGTGACGGCATCGATCGAGCTCCTGGCGTTTAACTGGGGTTCAGTCCTCAGGTGCGTGCTGTGGGCAGGCGAATGCCAAGGACCGTTCAGTTGGCAGTTTCAACTCAAAGAGTAAAATAATATCAGTTTGTTGGGCCATTCGTTTGCGACCCACTACATGTACTCTGTCATGCCAGCTAAGATGATAGCCGTTTCCAAGCTGACAGAATTTGCCGTGAGACTTGCGCGAGTTCTTTAGTGTTGAGACTCAAGATGTTCGTTTGCGGCTGGTGCTTAGTGGCTTGAAGGCCGACTTGAAGTTCCAAGCACTAGCAGGAAAATTCACTCGGTGGTACAGCACGTGCCGCAAGGCTCCTTTGGAGCTCAGGAAAGGGGCGCAGACATTGATTATAGTGCTGCTGGCTGTGCCTGGCCGGGGATGTCAACTTTGCTTTTGAGGAGGTTCACACACTTTCCCCAGCATGGAGGCAAGAGATGGAGCGTGACATTGGGCCTTTGGCTTGGTCTCATTCTCTTAGGTTCGAGCACCAGCAAAACAAGCTCTTTTGCTGCCGGGACCTTTTTCATGTCTACCTTGCTGGCTTTGGCCAGGACCATAGGGCCAGTTTTCTAGTGTACATGCTAGACCAGGTGTTTTGGTGGGAGCAACGTGGATTTAGCTACAGACGTCAAACTCCGCTTGGTGCACTTGGAAGCAATGTTCCACATCAGCTCGCACACAAACAGTTTCAACCAACCTCTGTTGAACTACATGGATCAAACAACCACGTATCCTACAGGAACCTGGAGCAAAGCATCCGATACAGCCAAGATCTTGGAGTTCAATTTGTACATGTGTGAGGTTTACCAAGACACGGTCCCCAAACACAACGTTTGGTTTTACATCCAACTTTCTTGTCAATCAGTAAGGGATTGCATGCAGGCTTCTTATGACAGTGATCTTTGGCTGGATCCTCGCCCTACAGCAATTGCAACTTTCATTGTTTGGTTATCTCGACTAGCTTTCGCGCCAGTCACGAGCCCTGGCATCCTCTCACGCTTTTCCCATAAAGTTTTCCGGAACCCTATGAAAAAACCACAGGGGAGAAGTTCGTGGAGAGTGGCCAGCAATGCCTTTTCTGTTACAGCAAGCTGGCAAAAATGGCCAGTGCCCTGGAGTCCAACAGGCCCCTATGGATCTTCAAGCCAAGGTTACATTATTTCCATCATTTGCTTCTTGATGCTTCCCTAATGTTGAACAGGGGTGGACCCCCCCGTCAACAGCTTGGCTTTTGGCTGAGCAATGGCAGAAGACTTCATAGGGAGGGCATCCTTGCTCTCCGGCTCGGGTTCACGCACAAACGAGTGAGCTCAGGGTGTTGCAGCGGTACAACAGATCGTTGGTCAGGTTGTGCTTGGAACAGGAACCAACGGTCCCGGTCCCGGGCGCGGACCACCCCCGGCCAGCTGCAGCTGCCGCGTAACGCGGATCCACAGGTGGCAGGATGGGGGTAGAAGAACGTCATGCGCATTGCAGAGGGTTTTAGAGGCACTGTAGATGACTTTCATTCAGTCTGTTCACCAACCAATACTTTTATCAGGAACCATGAGCTTTGAATTTTCTGTCTCAGCTTGAAAAATCAAAGAGCCTTAAAAACATTTAAAAACATACAGTCAACCGCAGGTCCAGTTGATCAATTGAATCTGGGTTGTGGGTGGAGGGCTTGTGGGTGGATTTAAGAGATAAACCGATAAACTCTTTCAGGATCATGGGAGTGGAAAGTAGGCCCCTGGAAGTCTGGAAGACCATGTTCCTCTACAATTACAAGGGGATCCTGGTCAGCTTCTATGATTGTTGGAGGGAGGGTATGCTGCAAGGGTTGAACATAGTTGAATATTTGAATCATACCTAGCGCCACTACGCCAGGAAATATGAGACGCAGCTGCGACACACACACACAGAATTCAGCAGCAATTGATACTATGCCTCTTGTGAGAGGCGATTTTGTCTTCAGTAAAACAAACAGCGAGTTCTCCTGGCAGCCAAAGACCAGAGAGTTTCGACGGGTAAAAAATTGCCCAAATGAAAGTGAAAGGTTTGATGCAAGCAGAGAGAGAGAGAACGTCAATGCGCATTGCTTTCAGTATTCAGCTTTTGCACAGCCAAATTTTACTTTTGGCACCATAAAACCCACAAACATTCTTTCACTGTGACTTTTGGTGATGGTCATGAATTCACTCTTTGTTTCTGCTCCATACACCACCTGACCACCAAACCTGACTGCATTACGGCGGAAATGCCTTCCACCCCAGCTTGCTTTCATGAATCAAGCCAAAGAAGACCTGAGTCTGCCACCGCTGTCCATTGTAACTGCCAAGTGCGGCCGAGTCAGGAGCCGCCACCGTAGCTCCGCCAAAACGTCTAAAACGAGTCAGTCGGTGGATAACCTTGAGGAGCCCGGAACCCGACGAGCGGGGCCCAATCGGTCAGGATGCGGCAGAGGTCCCTCCCATGTGGATATATGTGGATTGTTTGAAGTGTGCACTGAGCTCTTCAAACGCTTCAAGCCGGCCTCTTCATGTGTGAAGAAGCGTGGTATAGAATTTGTGAATGCTTAACCTTGAAGGTGCCGAGCTACGCTTGACTCTCGGCTGAGAATGGATGTTCCAATGGTGGCATGCGAAGCATATTTGGCACAAAACATACCAAGGCTCAAAACAAGCAAAACGCCATAAAGCTTCGCGGCTCTTCCTTATTGACTCACATTCTAGCCCTCTGCATGGCCTTCCACTTGGGGACATGCTCTTTCCACTTCTTTTAAAGGAGCTGACTCAGGCGTCTCGCCGGCATCCATGAAGGCATCCGTCAGGTTTCTATGCCAGGTCTGCACCATGCTTTTAGAAGCTCTTCATCTCCTGCATCCGATTCTTCTGCGATCGTCACCAATATACTCATGGGATGAGAGGCGATCGCACGCATGCCCAGCCCAGGGGCCCAGCACTCTTCTGGCTGTTTGATGCGACATGATGCGACCTTCGGGAACCAAGAAACGTAGGCAAAGACAGTTACTTTGGCCTGCAGCCCTCAGCCCGTCCCAAGTCGAGAGGCCACGTAGCCACCGGAGAAGTAACGGAAGGGATTCTCCGCACCCGTCCTGTCGAAGCTGGAAGGCACAAAAACACAATTTATATACAAATGAAAACAAAACAAAAACGCTTTTGGGGGGCTCTACAACAAATAACGCCCAAATCTGAAATTGAAGAACAGAACATCAGTAACACATCTGTTTGCACCGGAAGTTCGTGCCTGGGCACCAGCTCACCTTCCACGTTCTCCAGATACGCCAAGCCCTGTCCGGCGGGCACCACCAAGTCGATGTCCCCGTCCGCATCCTGACCAAAGGCCGACAACGATGGCGAAAACGGAACTGCCCGTCAGACCGAAACAAACAAAAAGTAACATGCTACACTTAACCTTAGAGGGAATCATCTATATACCCCTACCCTGAATTATGTCCTAAGGTTGTAGATATTGAACATAACTAGAGTCTGACCCATGCCCAAAAGACCTTGATGGCCTTGATGGCCCAGCCATCTTTGATTGCAGAACCACTCTGAAACCATATATGGATGTTTAGCTTGCCCTTTATTTCGTACAATTGGTAGCTTCTCCTCGACTCAATGTGCAATACCATCAAATCTTTCGTCATGCCAGCCGCTGAGGCATGACCTCCCGCAAAGCTCTCCCTCCCAACCGAGGCTCCCAATCTGCGGCGTGAAAACGGCAGAACGCCCAGCTGCAGGTGACGTTGCGAAAGGGACTCCGAGCGGCCTCCACTTCTGCCAGGGTGCCATCCTCTGGACGGGTCCGCGAAAGAACCGAGGGAGCCAGGGCGGGCGGAAAGGAAGAGGGATGCAGCGGTTTTCACAGGTTTTGGTGCTTGGGAATCTTGGTAAGAGCCGGTAGGGTAAGGTAAGTAGGTAGGTAGGTAGTTAAGTGCAGAAAGTATATGGATCCCTTGGAAAGAAATATTGATTGCAAATGGTTTTGCACAGCTGGGGGTAGTTCATATTATCCTACATGAATGAAGGACTACTGTACTTCGACCAATTTGCAATCAGCGCAATTACATTGTCTGCAGTCTTTAGAGGATTGGATCACCCTTCCCTTGCCCAAAGAGGTCCAATGCCATCCTGTGAATTTGCAGCTTGGAGAAATCCAAATACCTCCGGATAGATAGAGATAGAAATAACATACCGTCGGCCACGGCCACGTTTATTGTGGCCACTTGTGTGCTTAACCGAGTGTTCAAATCTCATCCCCATTTCAGGTGGCTGGTGGCTCCACTGTGATAGTCCGTTCAAACTCCAGGCGTCCGAGAGTGTTTCCTGACGTCCATCCAGCAGCCGAGCTTGGATGGTTCAAATCTTCTGGCCAGAACCAAACACGGCGGAACTCCTGGACCCGCAAGACATGCTAAGACTACTTTGCAAAAGGGCAATTGGATCCTGAACCCTCAGCAGCCAATCTGCCCGAACGCTCCAATAACCAACACTTTAGACTGGTGCCATGTCAGTAGGACGCGCAAAGGCTCCACAGATCTCTACAGTCAGGTCGTGCAGTGATCGATGTTCTGATCGTTCACCCGTGCAACGCCAATCACCGGCCCCCGCTTGGGCACATCCCCGGCCCAAGCCACACCGCAGCCCCCAGCACACCCCGGCCTCCGACTGGCGGTAGTAATGGATCCGCCCCGCGACAGCCAGCAACCTGATTCTTCCGTCCGAACCGGACTCGAGAGGTCGGTTTGCCCATCGATTTCGGGACCCGTGTGTAGCTCTTTGAGCTCGGGAGACCGACACCTACTGTAGGCATTTGGAGGGACCGGGGTTCGGTTCGGTAAATCGACCCGTCATGACCAGTCTATCCATTGGCTGTACAAGGCTGTACACTTGAAGGTATCCCCTCTATCAACCCGTCGGCTCCGTGGCGACGACGGCGCCGGAGGGACGAGGCATGACGAGGCGTACGAACACGTATATATATATATATATCAACACCACATCATGTTGTCTGAAAAGGGTGATTTGATGTGTTTCGATGGTTCAAAGTTGCTGCGAAACAACACACTGTAATGGATTTCATATGCAAATGATTGCAAATGCATCATTAGAAACCCAAAAATGGTGTGATGTACAACATCCTCTGGGAGCATGGCAATGGAACATTCGGCAATTGACTTAGGTGGTGGTGCAGGAAGACTGTTTGATCCACCCTTCCACATCTCACTGTTTCACATCCTCACAGAACAAGAGCAACCAAATGGGTGACTATGGCTTGGATGTACATCACCTTCTTTACGTTCTGCCAGCGATCCGTTGGTGGCCAAAAGCAAATCATGCTGTTTGACTGCGACCTACATAATCCAAGGGACAAGTCTAGGGTGCCGTCCTGGTCGAAGTCCACCGCCACCGGGCTGGCGGCCGACAAGTTCGTCAGGCCCTTCTCCGGCGCGATGAAGCCTGCAGGGGGGTTGATCAGCGCCAACGGCCAGGAGCTTCTCCAGGTTTTGAGATGAATCTGGGGAGATGAAGGCATGAAACATCCTGAATTGCATGACTGTTGAAGCTCAAACCTTAAAACTTGGTGGCACAACTTTCGATTTGCCTAATAGTTGTACACCTTTCACCATGTATCTATATGTTTTCATAGATCCTCTACACTACCTTAGACATGGAGCTTCCAACATAGTCTCAAAAGAAAGTGACCAAACCACATCACCGAAACGGCCTTGGACCATTGGAACCTTCCCATCGGCCACCCCATCGGCCACCCTTCGGTACATCGGTCCCATCGGCCAAGCTGCGGAAGGGATTGTCACCTGCAGCGAAACCCAACGGCAGGGAGGTGGCTAGAGTTTCTGCATGCTAAACCTGGGTGCTAGAGTTTCGCATCTCAGTTTTATTGGTCGTTTGGGCGCGAAGACTCGGAGACCCTCCAAAGACGTCTGAAAGAATGGGTTTGGTCGATTTGTCATTGGGCAAAGTGGGACTTTGGGGGGTTCCCTATTCTAGGAAACAAAAACAGGGGGCAGAACCGGCGATGGCTACTATCTTTCACTGGGTCCAGTATAGACTAGACCTGGACAATCCGTGCCAGGCCCGCCAGGGGCGTCATCTGAAGGGAGTGGACACCGATTGAAATCCACTCATGGTACCATCTCTCCAATCTCTTTGACTTGTGAAATTCTGTTTTAAACCATGGAACAATGGAGATGTATAATTAATCTAGCTTCACCTCAAAACATTCAGACGACTACACGGGCAACTTAACAAAACATACCTGTCAGTATAACCTGGAATATGTTGTTTTTGTTTTAATCAGGAGAAGCTCCCAGTCGCCACCAAACCCATCCCAAAACACCACCACCCGGCTGCCATGCTGCTCCCAGTGCGCACGTAGTAGCGGCCGTTGGGGTGCTTGGAGTAGTAGCGCACCAGGCCGTTGTGATCGCCCATGAGCAGATCTTCCACTCCATCGCCTCGTGGCTCCCGGGTCTGTGGAGGCGGGTAGCGGCTGTTTTCGTTTTTGTTGTGGGGGGTTCGGCGTTGGATCCATTTTGAAAGGATCAGTCAAGTATACAAGTATGGTGGTTTCCACACTGTTGAGCTGCTTCATGAGTGCATGTTGCAGCTCCTGATGTAAACTCCGGTAGACGCTGGACACCTTTTGGGCTAAGAGAGGGATGCGGGACCAACTTGTTGGACTGGGTGACGAGAACATTTACTCCAATGCTGATCAACATGGAACCCAAAGTGGTCAAATTCAATCTTACTCTTTCAGGGGGTAAACCTTAGAACTGAAATGAACTGAATATTTACTGAATATTTAGTGCAATCTTGTTTAGGCTACAAACATATTGACCACATTATGGTAATTTGTTTCAAGGAAACACCTGGTTTCCTGACTCTATGAGACGGTTTTGGAGGATAAATCCTGTGATCGATTGGATGAATGGGATGGTGTGACGGCCCAGGGGCACATGTGTGTCGATGCCGATCCTTTGGCGACGACTCGTTGCCATCTTCAGAGGTGAGCATCGTTGTATAGCTGTGTTCTATCTCTTGGCTGGGGGCCGCAACAGCACTCTCATAGCGTCCTTGTGTTGGTCAAAAAGGTAAAGTATGAAGAACACGGACAAACTCTTTTTCTCAACCGGTGGTGGTCAATTTGCATACGTTTGCCTTTACGTTTTCATAGCTTGACATAACTCCCAAGGGGACGTGTTCATAGCTGGAGTCTGGAGCCAATGCGATACACTTTGACGACCGGCCCTTCACCCAACAAGTATACACTCCTTGAAATATATTGAATAATCTAATCATGGAAGCGGAAAACCAGCAGTCAAATCATGGAAGTGGATGACATGGCCTCTTGGATGACCTATGAAATCCTCCACCAGCAGCTGCTTTTGCACTTCCATGATCACTTCATATTACTTCAGGGAGTGTAGACTGTTCAATCCAAGGATACCTTAGAGAGTCTTAGTCGATCGAACTCCTCCAAGTGGACACGAGGCCGACCAGTCCGAGTCGTCTGTGTTCGAACCTGACTCCAGTGGCACGGTTCTTCGCAATTCACTCTCGCTCAGGCTCGGACACCACTTGTCAGTCACCAACACCCCCAAAATCCATCAGGATGCCAATTAGAACTCACCCAGGTGGGCGGGCCCCGAAGAAGCGTGCCATCTCAGTGGCCATCCCAGTCGACCACATACGGTGCTGCCAGCTTCGCAGCCATCCGCACCTCGTGTGCCGGTCCGGACGAGGTTTTCGACCAAAAGGGCTACGGCGGTTTGGGAAGAGCAGACGGACGGAGGCGTTTCTGGAGCCGTTTCTGTTTGAATGGGAAATATCAACATGGCTAGAAGATGTTTCTGTTCAGAAGGGCCGTGGCAGTGCACTGGAAATCGATCTGATTGGCATAAAGAGTTAGCCTCAGTACTTGCAAGGGCACTGCCAAAGGCTTCAGCTGAGAGGTTTTACACAAACTCTTCTAGACAAAGCACAACAAACAACATTTCTATATATTGACTCCTCGGAGACCCCTCCTGCCAGTCTCAGGAATTGTTTTACTTTGTGCATTCTATTGGTTATGTTTGTCTTTGAGGCCACCCTCCGGCCTCACACATACTTTTTCTTGTTTCTTTGCTTACTGGTATTTTTGCCGCTTGTGTTTCTATTTTGTGTCAAAGACAAACTGCAAGGTCAGGTGCCGACCAAGCAAGGATTTGCAAGCGTACCGCCCAAAAGAGAAGCTCATGGAGGCCTTCAAACTTACACTTTATTGTATTTTGTTGTCTGCATATGTTGTTGTATATCACCAGTGTAGGGGTGCTTGCTTGTGTTTGTGTGGAGGGTGCCAGGAACCTTGACCTATCATGACCTATGTATTGGTTGTCCGAAGTCCTGTACAATCCATTGATATATCTATCAGGACCTAGCAATCTGGTTTCCCATGTTGATTTGTTTGCTCGAGGAGAACTTGCCCACTCTTCCAATTCTTCAACTGTGGTCGTTGCTATTTCAATCCCCAAAACCTGGGTAATCCGCCTGGGTACCGCCTGGCGCGCGGCCGTGGTTTCACCACTTTCGCCCAGTGACACTCGCGCGTTTCGCCAGCCGCTCCAGGTGCCCGTGGCACTTCCCCGGCTCTGGTGCGCACCACCAGCCGTCTTCCGCTCGAACGGAGGTGGGATTTCCAAGCAACGCCAAAAGAATGGAGTGCAGTCTCATGGCCAAAGTGCAGTCGAACGTGTGTATGGCCCTTGGCGGTGCAACACCCTTTGGATGACTTCAACATGTACATATTCTTCCGGCTTTTTCCCCAGGACCGATATGTTGCAAGACGTGTTCCGGCTCCACTGCAGTGCTTGCAGGGTCTGAAAGCTAACACATGGTGTCCAAGGGACTCCCAAATGACTCTCCATTAAAGTTTGCATTTGTTGAACGATCTTTTGGATAGGCAGTACAGTGGCGCCGAACAGTTTTGAGACGCCTCAAAAGACTCGGCCAACGTGGAGGGTGCAGTGGAGTTTTGACTGCTTTCCATGGCAGGTTCCTCACTATCTCAGTGATCTTGCAGGGAGTGATAGGTCCCCAAGGCTGGCGTTTCGGAGGGCATTTACTTTGTCCATGTTGTCACTTTGTATAGTATATGTTGATGATACAAAATTTGCTCATGTCTGCGTCGCGCTATGCAAATGTATTCCAGTGTCATGGAATGTCTGGGCATTGTGCTGACAACAAGCTTTCGATCACTGCATGTTCTCCCTCCACCTTGTTTCAACAACTGTGCATATGTGCACCCCGGAAGTGTGTCTGTGTTGCTTCCCTTTTGTTATCTTTGGCCAAGGCATGTTCGCAACCTATCCACCACTTGGACGGTGGCTGCGGCATCGGGGAAAAACAAAACCCACCAAAACAGCCATGCAAAGCCATATGTCCATATGTTATCCATGTCCGTCAGGCGGACGAACACGAACCCGATCGGTCGACCGGAGACCGAGGTCTTGGTCTTGAACACCGAATCTCTCCCGAGCGACATGGCTCCTCTGTCTGACATGGCTCCACTGTCTGGTAGAACCTGGCCCCCTTGGGTAGAAGTCATGTCAGCATCCTAGGCAGAAACTATAGGCAAAATTGTAGAGATATGTGGTATACATGGAGAAAAAAAAACACAATCTGTGAGAAGGACTGCATTCGTCTTCAAGGTCTGACCTCTACAGAAACAAACATGGAAACTTCAAATGGGTGATGGGAGAGATTACTTTCCTCTACAGTAACAGGGATGTTCTTCCAGCCTTCGCCACTGACCACTAGTTCAATGTATGCTATTTGTGGAGATCCTGAATTCACCTTGTTTATGTGGGCGTGGCAGTGCAAAGCGATCATTGAAAAAGAGACGTGCCGACTCAGTGTTGTTCGTCAAGTGAGAACGGTCTTTTTCGCTACATGCTGGGTCTAAATCGCCCAATCAAGTCCAAGGGCAAGGTCTCCCTGTTTGAGCGGTTGCCCTTGACAAGATGGATCGCGATCAGCTAAATCTGATCTGGAGCTCGAAAGTTAAAAGATAAAAGAAACTCTGGCAAAACCAAAATACACCAAACATGATTCATCCAAACAATAAACATATGAAACATTGAATGACATTGATGTCTTTTTCTACGGTCATGGCTGGTTCCGTCAAAATAAAGTTGACCCCACCACCACGGCCGCCACCATGCTCACCGGGGCCCCCAGCGCCGCACGCATAGGCCGCAAGCTGGAGATCTTTGGCCACCACGCAGCTCAACAAGGCCTCCTGAGCGGATCGCGGATGCATCTGCGGATCCATCTGGGTCTCCGGTGGTTCGACCGAAAAAAACGCTTGGTTTCAACCTGTCGATGAGAGCTACAAAGAAAAATCCACCCAAATGTCCCAATGATAGAGAAGTCAACTCTTCGGAGTTCCCACCTTAGCACTTTGCTGAGTATTTTTGCTGGATCTATTGAATCTATTGGTCTATACTAGTTTGACTTGTGCTTCAGGCCAAGGCTGTAGCAATACATCAATGATGCCAAAAATATCCAAACATTGTAGACCAGCTCATTGGCATACAAAGAACATGAGCGATCAACGTGGGCAGCCTCTCCACGAAGTGGCTGTTCACAGCTACAGCCTCTGCACGCCAAAAGGACAGGATGACATAACACCACGCACACATGTTTGGTAATGTTCGATCGTTGTTTCACGCCTCCCAAGTCTTCAGATGACCAGCCGGTTCAAATTGGTAGTGTTTTGGGACGGTGCGAGGTGGGGCCACTGCTATGTCGTGGTAATTCAGAAAGGACGAGTAGGAACACGATGAAGGTCTCTACGCACAAAGAAAAAACATGCACTAAAGCCTGGCACCTTGGCGCGGGTGTGTGTATGTGTGTGGTGTGTGGTGTTCAAAACCTTCTTATGAGAGTTTGTTACGGTTTGTTTATCTTCGATATATATATATATATATTATATTTTTTGTGTTTTTTTTTGGGGGGGTTCCAGTTTTCAGGGAAAACACTTAAGCCAATTCCGGGTCTCGAGTTCCGAAACTCATGGCGCAGTCCTTCCATGCACTTGCATCAGCCGGATTTCCTGGCAAAAGCGGAGCACCCTTGGAGGAGCTACTCGGTGAACATGTGAAGGCGGGCATGGTGGCGATGGGTCGTGACCCCTGCCCGACCAGTCCATCCATGTGACCGACAACTCCGGTGCCCGGTCGTGGTGGGTATCCTGACCGGTCGTGGCTCCAACGAGACCCCCAAGGAGATCGACTGCAGTCCAGTCTCGGATTTGAAAAAGCACGTTCGAGCGGTGTGTAAGCCTTTCTGTAGCGGTCTGGTGACTTCACAAAAAAAACACGAAACAAAACAATCATCTAGGGGGATGTTGGAATATAAATAAGTGTGCAAAACATACCTCAAAACCCTCAAAAATAGGCTGGCATGGGAATCAAGGAGCTGAAAGATACGTCTTGGTCAGTCCAATGCAACAAAATCTTGAAGCCCAACATCTAGTTGCTCAAATGGACATATGTGTGCATGTGTTGCTGACAATTCTGTCTTGCGAGGAAACATGTATCAGATTTCCTGCAACCTGCTGTGGCCAGCACTCAAACTCAGCTGGATGCCAGGCCCAGCCTCCGATGGGATCAAAGCCACCAAACCTGGCTTGGTGTGGGTGGCAGTCGGAGGGGCGGTGCCTCGTGAGGGTGAAGGTGAACGTGATCTCGGTTTGATCTTTAAGAGAGTTGTATTCCCAATTTCCACCTACTCTTTGGGTGCTTGGGATATTTCAGATGGGTTTCAGGGCGGATCCAACTAATTACCTGCTCGGAATATATATATATATAAACATTACATGTAGAATCATGTAGATTGGATCAAATGATTGAAGTGTACCTTGTGAAGTTGTGAAGGTATCGCTTTTGGGTCTTACTATATGTGCGACGGCATTTATTTGGTACTTAGCTCAAATATACTGTCTCTTATGTGGTTTTGGATCATTTGAATGAACTAGTTCTCTCACATAAAGATTTGGATTTATAGATGCCAGGCTCCAGGGTGAGGCCAGCAAACTTCTTTGGCGATTTGCTAAATGTGTCTTTGGCTTTTGGATTTAACGATCCTCCGACCTTCATTTGTGATTCCGGCTCCTGAACAGATCTAGGCAAAATAATCCATATAATAAGAAACCAATCATCATGGGCCTTCCGAGTTTGGGGTTTCTACACCCACATCATGCCAAACAAATCAATGATGGGCTTTCCAGCCGTCTAAGCGGCCCAAATACCTCCGCCCAGCCCCGGGTTCCCAGCTCGAGGAAGATCACCAACTGCCGCAAGCCGCCTGAGGACGTGGACGTCACTCGGTGAGACTGGGCACGGTAGGCACGGTAGGCACTCGCCACCACTGCCGCCACGGCGCAACGAGGCGCTGGAAGAGGAGTGTGTCGAGTCTTTTCTGAAAGCGAACTTGCTATCGCCTTGTAATTAAAGGGCCACATTGGATGATCAAATTGCGTTGAATTGGATGATCCTGCTGAATGGAGGGATTCCTCGTCGGATCGATATTCGTGGCACTAATCAGCGCAGTTCGCTGGACCTTTCACCAGATCAGCCTAATAGAATTCTAAACAAGTCGGACAAGTGTATAGAATCGTAGGTGTATATGTTAAATACGGAACAATTCCGACCATTTTCAGAAAAATTGACCATTTTGCAAACAAGCTGGCAGAATCTACGTGGGTCCATGCTATCTTCTCCAAAGCAATGATTCAGCAATTTCGACGATTTGCCCTCTCCAAAGTCCTCTTTGGAAGGTATACCTTCTACTTTTAGCATCGAACCAGCCGGGCAGCCACACTTTCGCGGTCGGTCTATAGCTGCGGTGCCTGACAGCCTAAAGTGGGACACCGGGCTTTGTTGCAACACCAGGGCATTCTCGCGGTTCTTCGCTGTCAGCTGCCGTAGCAAGGTCTTGGCAAGCGCGTCGCTGGGGAGACGGCTTTAAGCAAATGGTGAAGCTCACATAGCTGAAGTAACTCAAGGATCAGGAATATGTTTATTCAACATGTACATTTGGAGCTCTTCCCTCGCTTACTTTTCCGAGTAGGCAACTAATGACAACTATATATATATATATACCTCAATCCAATCTCTATTTCACATCTGCCGGGCTTTCCTTAGAAGGGACATTGCAATACCAAGAGTTGGTCTAGCATGCCAGTGAGCTTTGCAAGCACCCAGAGCTTGTAGGGAACCCCAACCCCAATCCAATACCTTAGACCATCTTAAGGCTTATGTTGCTCAGGTTTGCTACGCCGAGAATTGGACAGTTGGATCGTGTCCCTTTGAGAGATTCTTTAAGCCAATGCATGGCTGTCTGGGTTGAGTCGTCATTTTCCACCGGGAGGCCTCTTCCACCCATCGTGGAATTTTCAGAGACTTGATATGGACAGCAAACTGAGAAGGTGTTTGAACGTTTCGAGAATGAAAACACCTTCTCAGAATGCCAACAAATTGGATGCGAACATTCATGAGGCTTGCCAAAACGAGTACGCCGAAGAACACAGAAAATACGACACCTGACAAGTGCGGCATGTTTGCCTTTACATGTCCTCAAAAAGGGTGGCAAAGGATGCCAAAGCATCCAAACATCCAACAGTAGACAAATATATATATATATATATTTGTATACAAATCAAATAAATAAATAAATATATATATATATATGCATATAGTTAAGTATAACTACAATTAGTTATATATATATATATTTAATAGACAAAGAGAGCTGTGTGAACCATCCAAACATCCGAAACATGTAGCTACAAAGAAAACCTATTTTGTTTAAGGTGGTTCATATGTATGTGATTCCTCTTGGATGTGTCTGAATGCCATGTGTTGCAAGGTCATCAGGAAACTGTCAATATATTCGCATGCATCATTATCTATGAGACGGCCATATTGAAACCTTCCTTCACCCTAGCAACCACCCCAAGGTAGCCACACTGCACCTGCCCACAAACACTCAGATGGAACTTCAGAACAACTTGTTTCGAAAAATCATTTTCCATTCATGTTCAGAACTGAGTTTTCAGCCACACACTGTAGACCTTCATCAACCCCTCCACGCCTTCCCATCGGGTGTGATGGGCATGGCTTGGCTTGGCCTGGAGCTGCTTGCAGCACCGGGTTTTCGGGTTTCTCCAGTGGAGTGGAGTGGAGTGGAAGATGTCTCGAACATCTCATTTTGACATGGAGGTGAGGGAAGAGAAGGTTTGCAATCTGGCAATGAGACGAAACCAGTTCTGCATTCACCTCTTCCTTCACCGACCTTGCTCCCACGAATAGACCTATAGTGCAGCAAAAGCGAAGGCTGAGGCCAATGGATCTCCTTGTGCCAAATCCCAGTCAGTTCTCCCAAAGCCAAAGCGAACCGAGACGTCAAGACGAAACGCATACGGCGTCTACCCTTGGAGTGAGAACAAGAATGATGGCGAAGAAAGAACAAAAACGGTGGAAGGGACTTGTGGGGGGCTGTGGGCTTGGGTCTGGCCCAAAGTGGTGAGGAAGCCGAGGTGGGTGCCGAAGAAAAGGTCATGAGTCATGGAGTCATGGAGTATGACCATGAGGCTGATGCAGACTTTGCCTTTGTTGAGCCGACCCAGGAGAGGACCACCCAGACAAAGGACAAAAGCAAGGATGCGGATTTCTTGGCTGTCCAAGGCGTATATATACAAAAACTGAGAAAATGGGTCATGGAAGAGAGGAAAAAAAGAACTGATCATTGTAGCATTTGGGCCACAAACAAGCCTATGTTCGGAAATACAAATAAGCAAGTATTTCACAAGTATATGTGCTGCTTGAGAACATTCCCAACCAGCAGTTCACAAGTAGAGATGATACTCGGCCACAGGCCACAAGCAATCCACCCGATCAAATTTAGAAACACATACACATAGTTCCTTTTGGTTACTTTTGTTCAATATCATGTTCCTTTACACAAATATGTGTCTTTTCATGTCAAGCCATGATTCAGGAACCTCTTGCATTAGTTTGAGTTTGATCCGCCTTGTTCCTGCCATACTAACCACCTTTCAACTCCTTTCAACCACCTTACAAACCACAAATCTATTAAAACTAGTTAAGTTATCGCACTCTCCATCCAAATCCCTAACGTATCATGAACATTCATGAACTAATGCCCCGTTTGATTTGCCCGTTCAGAAACCAATCCCTTTGGGATCCATCCTCAAGAGATCTAGTCTTGGGGGAGCCCCCCAACAAACAATATGTTTGTCAGTCCTTCTTAGGCTCCCCAACTCACAAACCTCTAGGGTAGGGCGATCGTAGTCATGGCTCACACTATAACTGATCGAGGTATAAAACCGTTCATCGATTGCTTTACGTTTACGTACGTTTACTACAGTACTTTAGACCAATTAGCAAACTCAAAGGACACCGGAAAACGAGAGTCCTGGCCTCTTCGGGCATTTGCATTCATTAAGGTGTCACCGCGGCGGCATTGCGTCTCCCCAGATTGCTCTTCTATCTCGTCCAATGTTACCTGTGACAATGTTACCTGTGACAAGAGGCAGCAACTCGCAGTGCCTTTCTTGATCCAGCTTTGCCCTCGGATCCTACCATCTGGCAGGTATTTTGGGACTGGCTGTTCCTCCAGCTTGGCGAGGTCTTGCTGGTCCATTTCTGATCGACCGCCCTATGTATCCTGACGTTCAGATGATGGATTGGAACCTGACATGATCACTTTATCATCCTCTGTCCCTCCGCTGACGAAGCAGAGTTGGCAATGAGACGACGGTCCCTTCAAAGGAGTGCCCGGATCCTCCTCCCGGTGCTCCCTGATGTTCCATTCTGGAAGTGGCGCCATCGATCCGTGAGCGCTTTCGCCATAGCGACCGGGTGCCAAAGACTCGTCGCCGCTCTTAGTCAGAGTGAGAAGAAGCTGCGGGCGATATGTGGGCCAAAACATAACGATTTATTTTGACACATCACCACAAAATCTATCAGAAGCCGTTCCTTGTTCACGGTGTGAAGGAAATTGATCCTGTTGCGCTCTGAAGCCCCTTATGTGACTCAAAACCACCAGCAGATTGACCTTCCCAGTGTTGGTGGGCAAAGTCAGCTTCTGTGCTTGGAAAGCCACTTGTTGGGATTAATTCTTGCTTCGGGATCTTGTTGGCCACTGGCTTTCCTCCTGACTGGCCTGAGGTGTCAGGAGAAGGATCCAGATCTCAACCACTGTCAAATCTGTTGTCCTGCTGCATGTTGGTGTTGTAAATGCCTAGAGATCCCTTACGATCCTTTCAAAGCACCTCACCCCCATCCCCGTCATCCCAGAAATCGTTCCATCTCATTGTTCAACTGTTCCCGCCTCAAATATTGCGCGGCAAAGAGCCGCAAAATACCGAGGTGCGCCTTCTGCCAGTAGGTGGTGCGGTGTGGCGCGGTGAGCTGCGGCAGAGCAGGAATGGAGGGAGGGAGGATTTGGTTGGAGGACATCGGATATTATTATGGAAGACTATAAGGAGTTGTTTCTTTGATTTAAAGATCATGTTATATCATGTTTTATAATTTTATACCTTCTTTTGAACCAAGCAAAGCAAGGTTTCAGAATTGTCGGATGGAACGACAGTGTCATTCCGTGGTGCAGGATCTCATCCTTGTCCATCTGGCACAAATATCCTGTCATATCCTGTCATTGTAAATACTTGGAAACATATATACAGTGTATCTATATAATACACTCTGGCTCACTAACATGGAATTGGAAAATGGCCCCTGTGAAGACTATGTTCGTCTACAAACAGGTGGTTTTCCATTTGCATGTGACGTGAGTCAGAGTGTATAATTCGTTCCAATTTGCAAATTGGACATGTGAACACCAATTTACACTGGACATTCATCCATCCTTCCCCCACACGAACCCGGGCGCAGCGCTGGAACGGATGCGCAGGAACCGGCTGAGCGCCTGTAGTTGATGTAGCAAGCGCTGGCAATCCATCAGGCAATCCCTCGGCAACGTGACCTGGAACGTGAAAACCGTTTCTTTTCAATGAGTACCATAATATACAAGAATGCCACATGGTTTAGTATACCAGGACCCCAAGGGGTGTCTATAATAATAGCCCCTGAGAGGTTAATGGGTGTCTATTCACCCAACTCGGATTTTGGACCTACCAGGCTTGGCCCACGGCCCTACCAGGCTTCAAAGACCTGTGACGCATGGAGAGGAATCGGAACTCCGAGACCGCGCGTCTCCGCAGCGCACAAGAGCCAGGGAGCCAACTTACAAAGACATGCGGCTTGAAGGAGCAAACACCTACCCGATGCATATGCTCCTAGTAGCGATGCCAGGAGCCCCTAGTAGTTCCTTGCTCCTAGTTCTTCCTATATAGGTGAGCAACTACTCCGGAAGTATGCGCAAAACCAGGTACTTCCATCTGATCTGTTCCGCGATAGAGCCAACGATCAAGCCTATAATTTTGGACCATCCGGTTGTTCCACGCAAATGCAATGCATGGAACTTGCATGTGCCCATCTTGGCACACCTTCACACAGACCATCTAAATGGTTTCGTGAATTGGTTTCACAGCCTTTCATACACTCTAAGTTGGCCTTCGCAAATTGGCTTCGCCTGCGTGAAATCGTGCCTACGCTGCTTCGCGAGCGTATCACACAATTGCCTTCGCATGCATTTGGTACAAAAACGCTACTCATCTGTGAGCTGGTCCGTGGTGCCTTCCGAAGAAATCGGCCCCAAAGGTGCCCCAAGTGCTCCATACTGCTCCCCAAGCATCGATGCGATCCTTTCGCAGCAGATTCGCTCATAGCGTTGAAGAACACGTCCAACTTCGTTGGGAAGCAAGTGTTGGGATTCCTGTTTATCCATGTCTGAATGTTGCACTAAAGATGACTTCTTTGAGGTTTCTTTTGGTTTGGTTTTCGCTTCTTCACAGCGCTTTTCACTGTGCCTCGGTGCAGGAGAGGCATCCCCTTGTCCATCTCGACAAATGGTTTCCTTGATTCAGGAACCGCTCATTGCCCTCTGGCTTGCTATGTTTCAGGCCATAGACATGCCGAAAATGGCTGAAGCTGCCCCGCTGCGAAACCACTGAAGCCAATTACAAAGGGCCACAATTAGACCTGAAAAACAAAAAACAACTCATGGCAGGAGACCCAGTGCAGTCTCCGGAGCCCTTTCAACACCACCGAGCCTCAGCTACCGAAAAACAAACAAAAAACTCGACCCAGCCAGTCATAGCCATCCCCCACCGTACGCAAAGGAGAGCGTCGGACGGAAGAGTCCGTCTGCCTGTACCTCGGAGTCCAACTTTGGCACCAGCAAAGTGGAGACCTGAGAAACTGGACGACCAAAGAGAAACGGGTGAAAGCTCCAGGTGACCGGGTTGGTTGCAAGGGTATCCGGTACACGCCGCCGGAACAGATCGAAGATCGAGGCTCCTGAGTAACTGCTGAGGTCTGGTGTTCGGGAGGTGTGCCTGGGGGTTGAGAAACATCTGATATGTGTATATACCTACCAAATCCTCAGGCTGCAATTTCAGGCCGAGGCCATTC